TTATTCTAATTTTTTGTTATTTTGTTGTTATTTGACAATATTTGTTTTTTTTTTTGTAGGGAATCGTCGAGACTTTGACGGCTAAAGTTGAGGATTTGGACGCTATCGAAACATATCCTCCGCCACTATCACCACAATAGGCTTGTAGATTTTATTATTGTACTTTGTTAATTTATGTGTACATTTTGAATATTATATATATTGGATAATTTGACCACTATTTTTCATATGTAATTTTATTTTGAATATTTCAATTTAAATTAAAGTAATTAAAAAAAATAAAATCATACAATTAAATTAAATTTAAAAAGTAAAAATTTGAAAAATTAATATAATGAAATTGATATAAGAGAAATAATAAATAAAAAATGTCAAAAACCTTGGGTGACAAAATATTTCGTCGAGCAAACTATTAAACTAGTTTATTTTAATTAAAAAATTTTAAAAAACAAAAAATTTAAAATTTTTTAAAAAAACAAAAATTTTAAAAAATTGAATATTTCGTCGCGCAAAGATTTGCGCGACATTAACTTTCGTCGCGCAAAATAATATTGTTCGTCGCGCAAAGTAATTAATATTCGTCGTGCAAAGTTGATAGTATTCGTCGCGCAAAGTATCTTTGAGCGACGTTAGTATTCGTCGCGCAAAGTACCTTTAGAGACAAAAAAAAAATTTCGTCGCGCAAAACCTTTCTTTACGATCTTTGCGCGACAGAACTTGCGCGACCAAAATTTCGTCGCGCAAGTACTTTGCGCAACAAAATTATTTCGTTGCGCAAAGTGTTTTTTATAGTAGTGCATGTAATCTATTGTCACCGGCTTTGTGTATCTTCCATCTACTCCCACCACTGTGAGGTTATGGTTTGCAATTGAGTAGAAGAAAATGGTGTTCATTGCGGCGTTTACTATACGGAGTAGATAGGTCTTGTTTTGATCCACAAGGAGCTTGAATGTCTATGTCTCTGCAAAAAGAAGTGGATTTGATGAAGAAATTTTAAAGTACAAGACTTGATTGATAATGAGGATAATTTTACGGAGAGATTTATAATAAAAATGTCTATACCGGATTTTGAGCAAGGATAGAGGTCTCCCGGCTGACCATTGATCGTGTGAGCATCGGAAACATTCGGAGCTCCTCCAGTTCTAATGAATTCCTCCAATACCTCCATAACATCTCTCCTCCACCACTGACCTGCGTTTTAAACAAGCTTATTTGAACTTAGCTACTCAAAAAATGTTTGACTAGTGCTCAACATATTCTTCCTCATGTGTGAACCGATCATTCTTGGAATGATGTTAAAAGTGACCTTAAAATATTGATGCCTCCAAACACGGTGTTAAAGTTAATCTGGTACCGTATTGAAGATTAAATCGATCACTTGGACAAACGAATTGATTAAATCCAAGCTTAATTACACATGTTGAGTATAACACATGATTATATGAATACAAATTCACGCATGGTACCGAATATTATTTGCACTTGTTCATGAGGCTTGGGAAAAGGATAGCTAGCTCCACGTTTTGGATACACAAAGATTGCGCCATGAACTGTGGCTCGATCCCAGTCATTGTGTGCGTGCCACCAGATCGTTCCTTCCTCATTAGAAAATATAAGGGCTTCTTAGATATGGGTCCATTTTCATTTACATACAACGGATGCAGGACACTAATTGGACTCTCTTCAATTGCGGTCCTCCCAATCAATTGTATGGCCAGGTAAGCAAACCTTGTAGCCACCATATTCGAGACATTTACAATATATGACATTGGTTGAAAATGGCAAGTACATGCAAATACCACTTTTAAATATCAGTTTTCTCCTACAATCAAGCTTATGACATTCAATTTAAATGATGATTTCATGGCTCACAGATTAAAAACCTATTTAATTCAAATTTCAGCTATATACATATATGATATTTTTTAGAATTCTATATTCGTAGCTTTATTAAATTGGTAGCATATACCTACCTTTTAGCTATAAATTTATATATTGAGTTTTTCAAAATTCTTTATGGAATTTTTTTGTCATAATGTTAATTTTTTAATATACCTAGTATGGAGGTATAACTTCTTCTTTTTTAAACATATGTGTTTTACCTGGCATTGAGGTGCATCCAATATGTGTTTTACCTAGTACTGAGGTGCATCAAATATGTTCTATACCTATTAGATAGGTATATCAAGTTCAATGGTTAGTAGGGTATTGTACCTGAAGAATAGGATTATCAAATTTAAGAATAATATTAATAGTTCATGAAGAAATAAACGAGTACAATAGGTCCGACATTTACATTCAAAATGTAATTATTCCTTTAATTACATGATGAAATCTAATCATTAATGGCTTATAAATCCTCATCTTACCCGTTTTAGACAATAGGGATATAATAGGAACAAAAAATTTAAATACAAATCAGTTAAATACAAAAGATTGAGTCAGCATGTCAAAAATGGAATGTAATCTACATGGCAAACTAGTCAAAGGACTTGTATCAACAAACAATAATTCGAGGACTATACCCAACTATTGGTTGGATTTTTGGACCTCTATCAACTTTTCTAAAAATATAATCGTTTGCGTGAATTGGTCCCCAGGTTGAATTGGACATTGCGTGATGTATTCAGGACCATCTGACCATGGATTCCTAGGTGGCTTCACTCCATGCCTGCCAACAAAATTACCAAAACTAATCCCTCCAAATTAAGGGACTCAACCCATTTATAGTATCAAATTAAGTCAAATTGGATTATATTATCAAAATTACATATTACCGGTGAATGGTGATGTTGTGGCTGCCCTAGATTGTATCACCTTCATGAGCCTGTAAAACTGGTCCAGGAAATTTTCCATTTACTGTCAAGATTTTCTTGGTGCTGCAAAGCCTTGTGTATGTAGCTTCTTTCACCTTCGAAAAAAAAAAGGGTTAAGTTATGTTTTTCTTGTAGCTTCTTTCACCTAAAGCAAAGCATTTAAAAAAAAAACAAAAAACAATAAGAAAAATAGGTTCTTGAAGAAAGCATGCACCTACCACAAAATTATAATGGGTTGATGCTTGGCAGTGAATTAGGAAGACAAGTAGCAATGACAAAATCTGCAGGGCAGAGTTCCTCTTTCCGACCTTGATCATGTTTTTCTTCTGCTCTTGCTCTACTCGGTTATATCTGAAAACATACTCTAGCTTGTTTAATTTATAGAAGTTATAATCGAAAGAAGTTAAATGAGAAATGAGTTTCTAAACAGATGAAGTTATCACTAAAGATTGTATTGTAGGTCTATAATTCTTTAAGTGGAGTGAGTTTGCTAATAGGGAAAAGATGTATATGGACAATGACACGCATTTGAATGAAATGTTTTACCGTTATCTAATTTATTGAAGTTAATCTTAATTGATGATGAGAGCCCTTAAGTTCAGTTTACAGTGCTCAATGACGGCCGTAAATGTTGAATTATAAGCCTTAAGCTGACTTAAGGATTAGCAGATTTAGCATTCAGTTTTCTTTTAAGGTTTTATAGGCCAAGTGTAAGGCTCTCATTGGTTGACTAGTTGAACGGCTGAGATCACCTTGTGATGTAAGGGATCCAGCCACTGTACCTAACAGATATACTGCCTCACTCCAAGTGCGTGAGGATTGTAAGAAGAAAAAGAGAAACAACAGAATAGAAATATACATATTCTCTGCTACACGTATAGCAGAGCAAGTTTCCAATTCTCTTTGGTTCTTCCTCCTTCATTCTTCTGTGATTTCTTCACCCACACACTCAAAACTCTAACAGTAAAAACCTGTTTTCCTTGCAGTGTCCTCTTCCAATCTGATTAGTTTTTGGACTCAGACGATGGACATGCAGCTTAAAATTTCTTAGTTAGTTATATTCCTAGGGCTCTTCTTTTTGGTCTAGAATTGGATTGGATATGATAACTCCATATATTTAAAGCTTGTTAACGGAATAAATGATTTTTTTTTTTGGCCAAGTTGCAGGTAGAAGATGGTTTACTCATGAATAAAACTTACCCCATCTAATCCCCAAAAAGCAAAATCATTCACTTCTACCTTCATTTCCTCCTTCAACATACCTTATAGATTTAATGACTTTTCCAATCCAATTCAACCCTAAACCCTAAACCCCATATATTTCTCTTCCCAATGCCGGATCCAAATTCAAATCTCCCATTCCCGTTGATAAAAAAATTAAAAATAGAAATGCAAATTACTTGCTTTGGATCCACATCTTAATTGCAAATTAATTACAATTAGGAAGGATGCTTAAAATTTCTGAGTGTATGTTAATGCTGCCTTTGATTGATCTTTGATTGTCCACAGCTATGTACATTATATTCTAAAATGAATTAGGTTGGTTAGTAGGATCATTTTGTCTATTTGGAATTATTCGACCAAATGGAAATCTTAATTTGGGAAACAAATACGTGTGTTGAAGTCAAAGTGAGAACCTCTGCAAAATTTTGGAAATTGATATTAATGTTTTGGCGATCAACAACTTTGACCTTTGTGGTTTTCAACTTGTATCGATCAGCTAAATTTTTTCAAAACTATGCTTACCTATTTCAGTACGTAAAACACTATAAATGGGCAAAATCCCACTATAAGCAGCTAATTAAGCCTATGCATGCATCATTCATCAAGTCTCAGTTTTACCCTTTCTTTTCGGCAAACAATTACCTTAATTATACCTGAAAACAATTTTGGATTTGACAACAAGACTGTAAATTATATATACTTCAGAACACGTCCAATTAGATATTGTAAGTAACTCTGAAAGGGAAGTTGAGGACCTCAACAAGTTCCCGAAGACTAATCGCCTGAGCTTTCCCAATCTTATCTCATGCTCATGGCTGGTAAGAAATCAAATATAATTCACGAACTTTTCTCTCCCCCCCCCCCAAATCGCTTTCTCTTTGGTTTAGTATATATGTATACAATAGCGTTCCAAGCTCTAACCAACTAGTAAACATTTTCGATTGGTATATATATATCAAATAGCTCTACTAGTAAGTAAACATACAAGTATATAAGGTATTAACTTTATAGTTAATTCAACAAATTATCCATATAAGATTTGAAGTCCAGAGCTTTTCCAACAAAATGGAGATCATGCTCTAGACCATGGTCATTCACACAGAGTCTCATTGCTTTTAAAAGGAACAAAATGGATGCATACATGAGCAGAATCCTCAATATGGTCCAATGATTCAATAATTCATTTGCAACTAGGTCCTCAATCAATGGTCATTCAAACCAAAATTCTACCAGATCACACCATTGGATCAATGATTCTTATATGAACCATCTATTTTTTAACTCTCAGCTAATCGATTATCCTTCAAGCCTTAATGTTTTAATCAATGAAAATTATTAGGGTTAATTACTCAAATGGTCTGCAAATTTGTACCCGATTTACATTTTGGTCCCTAAACTAAATTATTCGTTCAAATGGTCCATCAACTCTATATTATTCGGTCCATTGGTCCAATCATCTAATTTTCTGTTAGATTTAACCAAATTTTAGGGTAAATATGACATTTCATAATTAACGAATAAAAATAGGGTTAAAATAAATACAAAATTAGAAAAAATTGAAGAAAAAAAGAAAAAAAAACATGAGACCAGTCCCCCCTCCCTCCGATTTCTTCTCCCCCATTCCCCCACAGACCCCTCCCCCCTTGTGTTTTTCCCCTCTCATCTCTCTCTCTCTCTCTCTCCAAATTCAAAAACCAATAAATTGGAAAACAAAAAACAAAAATTCCAACATTGTTTGCATCTGTTTTTTCTTTTGGTCAATTGAATTTTCATAGAAACCTTAAAAACAGAGGCAAGGAAAAACAAAGGGAAAGAAAACACCATAAACGAAACCAAGGTGGAAACAGGGCCACAAAGAACACACTAGGAACTCAGACACAGCAAACTTGTTTCCCACAGAAAAATCAAACAGTTGGGGGGGCAAGGCAGGCCGTCAGACACCAACACGCCTACTAGAGACGGTGGTGGTCTCTCGACCCAACACTCAGGTTCCACCGCTCGCGATCCTATCTTAGCAGCCAAGTGAGCGGCACCATTTACACTCTGAGGAGCCCACTTCCAGCACACCTCAGAGAAACTAGAGGAAAGAGTCTTAATTTCCTCCAAGATTGGGGCAATATTCTAAGCCCCATTGTGAATGTTACCAGCAACCCCATCCACAAGCACCTTAGAATCAGATTCCACAATGATTTTGTTCTGCCCAAGATTAACTGCCCGCCCACTTCAAAGCAAATGTTGCAGAACGAGCTTCTGATTCTAGAACACTAAAGCATAACCCAGGGGCAGCACACCCACCAATAAAAGCACCAACAGAGTCACATTGTTTGCACCTGTAGGTTGGTTGCAATGATGAGTTTAGGGTTTGTGGGTGAAAAACAGAATGGGGGAAGAGGGGGGAGGGGTTTGTGGGGTGGGGATTCTATTATGGTGGAATCTGGGAGGGTAGGTTGGGTATGGCTGTATTTTTGGGTGTCTTGAGAATATTTTTTGGTGGATAAACGGTGGTTGCTGGGTAGGGAGGAGGGTGGTGGGTGGTTGTCTCTCAACACCGAAAGAAAATCGGGGGGAGGAGGGGGCGAGGGTTTGGATGGTTGTTGATTTGGGGTTCTAGGTTCGGTGGGGGGGGGTGTCTGTTTTTTCTCTTTTTCTGTATTTGCTGGCTTGGGTGGAGGGTGGGGAGGATTTGGGGTTCTGGGTTCATGGGGCCTGGGGTGGAGGGTGGTTGTGGGATAGGTTTGGGGGTTGGAGCTTGAGGGTGGTGATCATGGGGGAATGGGAAGAGAGAGAGAGAGAGAGAGGAGTAATCACAAACAGTAATTTCTATTACCCCTTTATCACCACTATATCACTATTGTATCACCTATGTATCATGTTGTGTAGATTCAGCTGCACCAAAATGGATTAAGCTGCATCCTCAACTTGTGATACTCGCAAGTGCACGAACCGTTGGTAGTTTAGCGTATGTAAGTGCGAGGTCGATTCCACAGGGATTGGTGATTGAATGATCCAATTTAGTTTCCCTACACAAAACAGAAATGAAAAAGAAAGGAAATAAATAAAACAAGGAAGAAAGAAATAACTAACTCAAGCAGATAAGTTCTCAAGTTCAATTAGATTAACGGATTGATTCTAGCTAATGTATGATTAAGCCATGGTGTGTGGTCATAACCTTGTGTTCCTAATTCCCTAATTTGATCATTTGTTGTCTAACCTAAAATTAAGCATTAGGAACCCATTAAGCATAGAAGAACAATTTAAACAACCAAGCATGTATCTAATCCCTGTTGTCGAATGTCCATACATACTCTTCCTATTCATAGTTCAATTCGAATTAAAGCATGGTGTATACTCTTAATTCAAACCAAGATAGCTAACATGCAAGACTAAATGGTGATCAATCATTCAAACTAGCATATTAACTTATAAGCATAATGAATAAGAACATGAATCATGAATCAAACTTGAAACTCCAAACTTATAAACCCAGAATATTCATGTTAGGTTACATCGAAGCCCTAGTTATGGATTTAGCTACTCATAATGGAAAAGAAACTAAAACAGAAATGGGAAAACATAATGAATGCCATAAGAGTAGAAAAACCCTTTTCTGAAGTTCTTGTAGTGCCCAATGCTTCTCCAAGAGCTTCTCCACGTCTAGAAGGATGTATGAAGGCCACTTCAACTTCAATTAATTCATTTGGCTGCTGCAAAATTCCACTCAAAAATAGGTATTGAATATGCTTCACCAAACTTTCCCACAATCAACAACACTTCATCATGCATATGTCATGCATGACAATGCATTGCAGCCAGCTTGTGGGCTCGTTTTGGGCTTGTGGCTTCATTCTGAAAAATCTGGAAAAATATGGATCTTGAAGCTCTTTGTCTTATCTTTCCAAGCATATGCAGCCCAGCTCAAGGAAAAATCGGAAAGCCCTTCAAATGTGATTTTTGGCCCAGTAACGCAGATGCTGCCGAATTTGACCTTAAGTTGCCAAAACATGTATAACTTTCTCTAGAAGACTCGGAATCATGAACCGTAAAATTATACAGAAACTAGACTTCCGTATCTTTCCAATGATGTATGGGTCATCATCTGGTTCTTCTTGAGAAAGTACAGTCAAATCCGTGAAGTTGACTGATCTGCAGACACCGTTTTGAGCTAACTTGTCTCCAAAATGCAATTAGTGAGTCTCAAGCTTATAACACTGAAACAAACACAAAACTTATTAAAAGCACAAGTTTAACTCAAAAACATAACCAAATCATAAATTAGAAGGGTACAAAATGATATGTAAATATGCACCGATCATATCACCACTTTATCACCTATTTGGAGAACTTAGGACTGTTATGGACGGTTTTACCCTTACATTTAACAGCAACATTGGCAGAATGTAACGGTAGGGCCAATGGACCGAGTAATATAGAGTTGATGGACCATTTGAATGAATAATTAAATTGATGGACCAAAATGTAAATCGGGTATAAGTTTGAGGATCATTTGAGTAATTAACCCTATATATATATATATATACAATTACATGCATATTAGTTAGAATAAAACATAACAAGCTTAAAAGAAAAGAAGTTTACCACTTTATCATCAAAGACAATAAGATCTTATGGCCTAGCTACTTGCGACCCAATGGCATCCCCAAACGTTTCTAACATTCCTTTCACAGAGATTGGTAGTGGAGCATCTCCCTTTAGTGCACAATTCACAGCTACTCTTATGTTCCCCTTTTCCAAAGGAACATTATGAACCAACTGGTTTGGCACATTAATCTCAACTATTGTGCCACTTGCAACAATGTTTGCCTTTTCGCCGAAAGCCATTTTGCATTCTTTCCCCTAATATGCATATAAAAGACAAATATAATACAAGCTAAACATATCAATTTCAGCAAGCATTTATATCAATTAAGTAGAAGATGGAGTCAAAGAAAGAGATCGTAGAGGCCTAGGAAAAAACCAAAGGCCTAGGAAGCTTCACAGTTAATAGAATATAATGTCATTGCCTTATTGGGTAAATGAGAATGAAGGATATAAACCTTTTTCCCACTTAACAACAATATATATCTTGGGCAAATGGGAATTCAGCTTTTAAAGTGCTAAGTAATTCTCTGCATGTACATGCTTTCTAACATTAGATAGGGAAAAAATTTATAATTAGTCAAACACTCAGTGTCAGCAAGCAATTCATAACATTAAGATCACGAACAAATAAATGAAAAAGGAGAGCAATGATGAATCATTACACCAATCTGCACAAAACTAACAACCTTTATTTCTAGTGAATTTGTCAAAAAGTATGGCGATGTGAAATTGATACTTAGGTGACAAGGGGTAAATTTAACTAAACAAACAAGACACAACAACTCAACAATCAAGAGAACACACAGAGCATGCCACAAAGTACCTGCAGCCCTAGAAGATTACTAGTGACAACCTAGGCACTCAGAAGGACCCATCAATCTAGGCATCCCCTGTGCTAGCAACAACTATGGTGAAAGTGTGTGAAGTCATCATTATCAAGTCATTATCAAGTAAACAACAAACAGTAGATATAGATGACTAGTCAACCACCAAGAACAGAAACCCAGAAAAATTACAGATATGCAAAACAGATTTTGTTTACCCAGAAACCCACCATTGGGAAAAACTGGAAGTCATCAACCAACTAGGCAATCCACTAAGTAGAAAAAGATTCTTACAAAGGAATACAAGCAAGCTCAAGAAAAACCTAGATCTATTTAGGAAAATGAGCTATACCTCCTTTGTGCAATCTTCTTCTCCAACTTAGCAAAGCTCAAAGCTCAGTTCATCATGGCAATGGCAGCTCCTTCTCCAGCTCGATTATCCCATGGCACTAGCTTGCAAGCTCCAACTCAAAACGAAACCAAACTTTGGATTCAAGGGAGAAAGACCAATTTCTTTTGGCTTCAAGGGAGAAAGACCAATTTCTTCAAGAAACCATACTCTTGAAGAAATTAGTCATGAATCCGATCTAGATCTATATGAGAGAATGATTTAAATAGCTAGATGCAGATTCATATTTCAAAAGCAGTTTTTCAAAAAGAAATCAATTAGAAAAACTCATAGATGAAATATATGGTTTACTCTTGAGGAAGAA